GATGAGGTGGAGGATAAGGTGCAGCAAAAAGACGACTTTGATGATGATGATGATTTAAATAATTTGATGCCATTATTGGACTAAATGCTGATTTACTTGCTTCAGAATAGACACTAGCTATAACACGTTTAACAGCTTCCGACATTTCATGTTCATTTGATGGAAGAGAAAAAAATTGTTGAATTGGTTGATTTATAACAGCATCTTTTATTATTGGTGATGATGGTGAAATAGGTGATGTTGAACGACCAGGAGCAATTTCATCTGTTGATCGAACAGCAGGAGGTGAAGTAGATGCCAATTTTGTTGAACGATTATCAGGTGGTGATGATGGATGAGGACTTTTGCTATTTGTATCTTCATCATCACCATCTTTATCATTTATTCCATTATATGTTGAAGTTTTTTCAACAGTAACAACTAAACATAAAGAAAATTTGTTTGTTTTTTTTTGTCTTAAATAATTTTCTATTATTTATTTACCATCATTTGAATTTTCGTCATCATTACTTGTATCACCTTCTTCAACATCTAATATAGTTGATGTTGTTGCTAAACCTTCAGTAGATGCATTAAGTGATCGACGTAATGCTAAAATTGCTTCTGGTGGTGTACCATAAATAGCACTTAATTCTCGAGCATCATTTTCTTCTTGTGCTTGTTGTCGTCGTAAAGCAACCTATAGAATATAATAATAATAACAGTATCTTATAATTCTATTAACTTACTTGTGCAGCCATAACACGTTGTCGTTCAGCAATAAGTGTACATTTAGCACAAATACAATCTTTCCAATTACAATAACGTTTATGACCTTTTAATGCTGATACAACACCATGATTTCTACATCGTGCACATTTTGGTGTACGTTGATAACGTTCAGTAGCACGTAATAAAAGAGCATGAGGTAAATAACGTGGAAATGCTGAAGATGCTACTGATGATGATGATGATGATGATGATTGTTGATGTTTATTATTTGTATTTTTATTCATTTTTTTTGCATTATTACGAGATGATGGACTTGTACTCATATTGAATCGATGTTGCTTCTACACGTACGATATGTTAAAATATAACTGATCAAAATTGTGATTAATATATCATTGTAGATACAATCGATGAGAGAAAAGGAGAAAATGAGAAAGAGAAAAGAAAAAAAAGCAAAAAAAAAACGAAGAGATTAACGAATCAAAATAAAGCTATAGAGCAATCGGACAGATCGTTGATTGGTGCTAAATAATCGTTTCTCTTTTTTTTTTTCTGTATTCTCTTATTTGATATCAGCATTACTTGTCAATAAAAAAAACACAATGACGGTCTCCCCAACAACTAACGTGTATGTATAATAACAACAATACCCATACATAAAAAGATCGATTACGCACAGATTGATGAAATACCATCAACAAACTTACTAAGAAATAAGAGAATACAGACTATACACACACTCTCATATACGAACTACTACTAATACTGCTGTCATTTTTTTTTTGCAGTTTAGGCAACGTATCAATTTTCGCTCTATATAACAACGTTTCACCTTTTTTCTTTTTGTTGATATATGTATATACATATATATATATACCTGATTATATATAGGTGAAAAAAATGATTGACTTTGCAACTAACAAAAAAGAAAAAGTTATACGAATCATATGTGATATGATATCAAGTAAATATGAAATGATTCTTAAAATCATTTTATATATAAAATTTGCCCGGCAGACATCCGGAAATAATTTCGGGTTTATGCTTTGCTTCTTTTATTTTTTTAAACAAGTGGATCAAGATAAGATCACTTTCTTGGATATGCTCCTTTTTTCCGGTCAAACATAAAAAAAATAAATTAATTTGTCTTTCTTCATATTAACAAAAAAGAAGAGATCATCAATGAGAAGAGATTACTGCACTTGTGAAGTTGACAACATGTCGGAAAAAGCTTGTTGTAGTCAAACCAATAGACATATACGGAGGCGTACACACCGGAAATCATTACTAATGTAAGAACTAATGGACACAAGAAAATAATATACAAGACCAACAAATGTTTGCTATTTTCTATCGTGCACAGTGGTTGGTTATTTATATAGATTTATAAGAAGAGAATAATGGAAATAAATAAGCAGAAAAAAATGTTCTTGTGAGCTAATCATATTGATTGTTATGTTTGTCGAAGATTATTATTTGTTGTTGTAGTCTAATGTATGAAAGTGCATATTTACAAGCGTCTGTCACAAATGAGAATATCGAAATCCAACAGAGAAAAAAAAATAAGAACAAAGTCAAAAAAAAAAGAAAAGAAAAAGAATTTTGATCCTTGGATCAGTGAAATGTAAATAATGTAACAAAAGAAAGGTGTATCTAATTGGCTTGAATGGCAGATGGTTTGTTTTTATGCGCTCTTTCGTTTGATTTCGTCAGATAAAACAACAAATAGTTCTCTAGTTGCCTTCTTAATGACGACATTTCTTGTTCACATATATATTCATTCTTTAAATATAGATCAATATGATATGATGACTAAGAGGAATTTTAAGCCATCATCTATAATATAGTAGTCGTAGTTTTAGTCGGCGACAACGTTTGAAAGTAATTTGAGATTGGTCAAACTCTCTTCAGGCATTAACTTTGATAAGTCACAAAGAATAAAACGACAACAATACAACGAATTGAACTGCAAAGTGAACGAAAGGATATATTGATCTTTAATTTTTGTGTACATGTCATACAAATTATACACCTACACAAATAGAATCAGAGAGCAAGAGAGATCGAGTAAGAGAGGTCATAGAGATGCCGCGCTGTGTTCTTCTCTATGTACTTGACGTTTTTTTTTTCTGTTGTATGTTTCTTGTTCATACTAATTAATTATTTGATGTAATACATTGAAAAACAAATCTTAAGTGGATAATGATGTAAGCACGCCGCATGACTAAATCATACTTGAGTATATAATATAATAGAATAGATTTGAGATGACAATTCAAATAGAGTAAATGTCATTTTAGAGAACTTTATTTTTCGTAATTCAACCAAAAAAAAAAAAAATAAAATCTATGTTTCTATGTTGAAACTGAATTAAATATTTGTTGAAATGAAATTACCTGTATGAGAGCACATCCTATTCTTTTCCGTGATTTTTTTTTATTTGCATAGTATCATATATAGTAAGGGGCACTGTTTCTTTATGTTTATATTTACACAATAACATACTAATTTTCTTCACGTACGTCACTCAATCTACTATTCGATGATTTTATGTTTCATTTGATACATGATTTAATGAAATCAAGGATTGTAAATCTTTAATTTTTTTCTGTTGATTGTTGTTCAGGAGATTTATTTTCATTTATAATGGATTTAAATACTGATGAATCAAATAAATGAAGTTCTGTTTGATCAAACTCTAATAAATATATTAAAGATTTTTTTTGACGAATTTCATCATAATATTTATCTTTTAATGCATATAATGCTGTTAGACGTTGATTAGGTGAATATTGAAATAGACGTAAACAAAATTGAACACAATCAAAATCAGATTTAGTTATAGATGTTAAATGTTCAATAATAGTTTTTGATTTATCTATAAGAGATATTTTACGTTGAATTTGTTGATGAATTATTATATCAGATTTTGGTTTCAAATCACGTATTTCATCGACATTAGGTTCACCCAAGAGAAGAATGATTTGAAAAAGTTGATCATTCTGATCAGTACCTAAAATTTATGAATAACAAAAATAAATAAAATTTATACGAATTAAAACAAGAATTTCGAATTATATAATTAAACTTTATTTAAAAATGAACATTAAAAATTCATGTGTACATCAATTTAAGAGTAGCAAAACCATCCAAAAACAAAAACCGTAAATATAAAGTTACCACGTTAAAATAAAACTATTACTCATGATATATATTATATCAATTATAACGAGAGAACATATATATTTACCTTTAAATAAAGGTACACCAGAATAAAATTCTGTAAGAACACATGCAGTTGCCCATATATCAATACTAGTTGTATATGATGTAGAACCAAGAATTAATTCTGGTGCTCGATAATAACGTGAACAAATATAAGACACACTAATATCATTAGGTAATAAATATTTAGCCGTACCAAAATCACATATTTTAAGTAAACCTTTTTGACAATTTACTAAAATATTAGTTGGTTTTATATCTCGATGTGCAATACCACGATCATGAAGATAAGCAAGTGCACGAAATATTTGAAATGTAAATAATTTAATTTGATTAAAATCAATAAATGATTGATTAAATTTTTTATGCCATCGTTGAATTAATGAATAAACAGTTTCAGGAAATAATTCCATAATTAAACATAATATATTATTATTTAATTTTTGATTATTTATTTCTTGTTTAAAAAAATAATATTTTAATTTAATTATATTTGGATGATTTAATTTACGTAAAATTTCTAATTCACGATTTTTATGTTTATGATCAACAATAATTTCTTTAATTGCAACTAATTCTTTTGTATTTTCAATAAATGATTTGTAGACTATAGCAAATGTACCTTTACCAATAAATTTTTTTTCAATAGATAAATAAATCTCAACAGATTCATCATTATTAATTATTGAATTATGACGTATAGCTTGAATACATTGATATTTTGACGATGAATCGTTCATCGACGATATATTGAATTCATCTTTGTTGATAAATCGAGATTTTTAGAACGTAGACGAAAAAAAAAACAAAAAAGAACAATGGCGCGCATATTTATCGTTTATTATGTTCATAAAAAAAAAATTTCTTGAGTTAGTTGTACTAATTCAATCACAAATGTTAGAGGTCGCTATTTGGCATTTGATAGTTATCGTTTATTAAACATTGTGGAGGTTGAAACCAACGAGAACCTCAGCAACCTATTAAATAATGTCTGTTTTAAAACTCTTATCCATTAATATTTTTTTTTTCTTTTTCTTTTTCATTTTTTTGATTTAAATCATAAAATGGCTAGTTCTTCATTAGTTGATTATTATAGTTCTCGTGTTAATTTTGATAAACTTAATCCATTAATACGTTCAGCATATAATACAACATCAGATTTTGAAGATTATAAACAAAAATTACTTGCTAAAGTTGAATATGATAATCAAGATGGTAATTCATCATTTCTTAATTCAATTGAAGATATTCGTCATGAACAACGTGTTCGATTAGCACAAGTTGAACATGATTATTATAATCAAAAGCCAACATCATCATTTGATGTACCTTATTATGCTGAAGAAACAAATAAAAAACAAGAAACTATACTTATATCAAAACCACCTTTACCATCAGCATCAAGACGATCACCATCGCCAGTATTTTTAACTGAAGAACAGATTCAACATCATACTCATCATCGTCCACTGTCTACAAATATAGTTCGACGACATGATGATGATCTATCATTTTGTCCACATCGAACATGTACTGGTAATACGAATATTCTACATGATTCAACAAGTAATCATGTTCAAAGTCAAATAGAAAATATGTGGAATGAATTTGAATTAGATGATTATTTAGAACAAAGAAAGTAAGATAAATGAGAAAAAAAAAACAAATTAAATTTTTTTTTAATAAGATTTTTATGGTTTCTTTTTTTTTTTTCATTCTTTTTTGTTGTTGTATAGAACTCGTCGTCATCCAAGTGTACCAACAACAACTAGTTGGGCAGGTCGTGTAACAGTACCAGAACCATTTTCTTTAACAAATAGTGTAACTATGGATAATGTACATAGAAAAAAATGTATGCATGAAATAGAAGCAGCAAAATTACAAAAAGAAGTTGACGATGAACTTATGCTTAATCGATCTTTTAAAGGTAAATATTTTTGTTCTTGTTTAAATACGAATAACTAGTCTAAAAACTTGAATAACTTTGAACTTTAATGCACATGTATAAAGTTTCTCAACTGAAGAGAGAAGAAATTTTCTTAATAGTTCATATTTAACGCTACTTATAATCTTTTATATTAAAAAATCTAAGATTTTGATTTATACATATCCCTAATAAACTTATCTCATTGAAATCCATAGAAAAAAAAAAATTTTCATTTAAATAGAAGTTAATATTCAATTATTAGCTTAATTTTTCTATCAATATATACTAGATGTGCGTGCAGGTATGAGTGCAGCTGTATATAAGCAGTCAATCAAGCTACTCATTGCCACACCCATTACGTTGAATGCTTAAATTTCATCTTAAAAGATATGCAGATGTTAATCTTACTGGTATAGAAATTGCTATCAAATGTAGATAAGGTGTGAAAATAAAACATACTATTAAGTAATCATTTTTTTTTCATGTTATATGCTTTTATACTCTAGCTCATATTTCTTTGAATAAAGTAAATGTCAAATGATCATTCAATTAATAAAAAATATCTTATTAATATCTCTTCATGAATTGGTTAGAGATAAGAATGAGAGAAGAAATTTTTTAGCAATTAAGAATGATCCTAGTCGAAGGTAGCCTGTTCTTCATACATCATTAGAGAGATATACGATAATAATATCAATACATGGAAATCGTCGCAAAAAAATAAATAAATGATCATCTAATATTGTTGGTATTCATGATTTAAGACAATATCTGTCACTATAACTTTCGATTTTCATACATTTTGATGAATTTTAATAAAATATAAAGTGTTAAAATTCTTAAATTATTTTTCATTAGCAACTCCTGTTCCTGCTCATGTTCGTATGCCTTTATATGAACAGTTACAAGAAGAACAACGTGTTCGTCGTGAACAAGTTCGTTATATGACAAAAGAATATTTAAATTCAATATCAAAACCATTTGGATTTGATTCACGTGAAAAAACTAAAACAATATTACGAAGACATTCATATTCCGATGGAGATACTCCTAGAAATGAACCACAATTTAAAGCAAAACCATTACCCGATTTTTATTATCGAACAAGCAAAGATATTGAACAGTATGATTTGAATAAAATTTTCAATTAATTTTGTTTCTATCTTTACTTTTATTGAACTCTTGTTTTTTTTGTTTTTGTTTTTAAATCTTAGAATGAAAGAAAAATCTCTTTATCGTTCAATAAAACGAGAAATGCGTGCCAAAGAATTACTTCGTCAATCACGTCTACCATCAAGTATGCAAGAACGTGAACAATTAGCAAAACGTACACGACGTTCAATGAGTGCAAATGATTTAACACGTATTGGTCATGAAGAATATACATTTAAACCAAAAACAAATGGTTATTATATACCAGATTATGATAAACTTCATTCAAAATTTTTACGTCAATCTGAACAAGCAAAACGTATGCGAGTACCAACAAAATGTAAACCATTTTTATTATATACAAATTTAATTCCAACAAAAAAAGATAAAATTCTTGATAATATTCGATATGAAGAAGAAATGCGTCATTTACAAACATTTCAAATAAAAGGAAAACAAATTCCTACAAAATCAACATCAGGTATGAGTTTATCAAATAGTCTTCAACAATCTGAAGCTATACCAACAAAAACAACTCAAGCACAACGTATACGTGAAGTTATGGGAAAGAAAAAACGACGTGAAGAAGAAGCAAAAGATAAATTTGAACAAAAATTTCAAAGATCAAGATCAGCTAAAGAAAGACGATTAAGAGAAAAAATTCATGAACAAGCAAAATTACAAGATAAATCAACAATACATAAAGCAAAAAAAGAAGAAAATGTAAATATAAAAATTTATATTTTTAAATTTAATTTTTTCTTTTTCATAGACTCGTAAAATTCGTCAATCAATGCATCTAAATGAAGATGAATATGCTAGAAAATTAGATGCAATGAATGGTCGTATTGAACGACGTCCATTATTACTTGAACAAGATCAACGAGATAAAGCTGTACGAGATTTAGAAAGAAAAATTCAACATGCAATGACCGTAGCTAATATAACTGAAAAAGATTTAATGAGACAAAAATTTAATTCACCTAATGTTAGAGTAACAACAACACATACTGATTATTCATCATAAACATAAAAATAAACTTGGTTGTGTTTTTTTCTTCTTCTTTTATTTGTGACTTTTTTTTTGCACAAAATACGTGAAAATGAAAATGAAATCAGGATAAACATTTTTATTTAGTTGATTATCTTATCAAAATTATATATATATATATATATATATACTGCTTGTTATTTTCAAATAATCGAAAATATCACATTGTTTTTATATTAGATAATTAAATTTAAGATATTGATCTAATATTATTAATAATCATTATCTTATTAAGTGTTTTTTCTTTCTAATTAGAATTTCAAAAATAAATTTAAATGAATAATTTCGTTCGCGCTTAGTAATATATGTACTAGCAAAAAATGCCATATCATTTTCTAGTAGTGTCAATGAGCGCGAGATTATCCCACACAACTTCTAACATTCTCTCTTTTGGAGATTAATTAATTTTTTTTAAAATTCACTAATAATTCGTCTGATCTACACGTTGATCTGTTCAACAATTCTGTTGTTTACGATACAAAGGCTTAATTTTGCTATTAAAATTGTAATAGAAAATATTGAAATGATCGTTACTCAATAATTTTCACATAAACTGTTAGAAAATATGAAACATGAGAATATAATATGTGACGCAAGTTTTACATAATCGTAAAATATATCATTTTCAATGAAAAAGTGTTGATCTGAGTCCCAATGCCGCACGAACCGGAACCATATTGCCCATATCTAGTATAATTGCAGGTATTGTAAATCTGTAGATAATTTCGAACTATTAACGTACATGTTAAGGGCTAAGACTCCTTTCGTATTATTCACTAATGGAAATCAAAGTTCGTCGTAATAGAAGAGTATTGTACTCGATGTTTATTTTTATTGAAACTATAATTTTAATCTTGTCGTTGTGCCGCATGACGTCGATAAATGCTATACTATAAAAGTTAAATTCTCTTCAACTATAAGACATGTAAAAATTAATTTTATATCAAATACAGGCTTATTTATCGTAGATTTGTGAAGAATTCTTATTGTCGTTCATATATATATATATACACTGGGTCACGTGACGAAAAGACGAAAGTCGATGAATCAAAATTTTGGAAGTGATTTGAGAATTTTTTGTTTTACTCTGCAAGAGAAAAACCTGATTTTTTTTCAGGTTAGAATGATTATATTTGTTTGTTCTTTCAGCTTTGAATTCGGAACAACACTGAATATATTATGTTTCATTGGATCTATCTCGATATCAATCTAATGACGAGTCTAAATAATAAGTATATTAGCACATAAAAGACCTCATTCAAAAATTTTATGTTGTGTGTATTACAGATCATTACGTTGACGTTGTCATCAGTAGACTTCTAGGTTTAATCAGAGGCAAAAAAAGAATTTAATTTATATCCCAAAATAGACAAGAATTCTTTTGATATTTTTACTTTTCATGACAATATCAGGAGATTAACTTCTTTCATTATGAATACTAAACATAAAACTGAAATATTATTATCAACTTACTTGAAGTCTGACAATTTCAAACTATATAATTGAATGATGACAATAAACATGTTTTAGAATATTCATAAGATTAGAATAACACTTGTTTTAACTTAATTTTAGGGAAGAAATTCTTTCTAAATTATCATTTATTGAAAATGCCAGTAATGAGATTTAATTTTGCTATATTAGGTAAGTATTTGATAAACAAAAACTGTCGATTTTGTTTTTATTTTATTAATAAATATTCAAGATTTCATTCAAATAAAATTTCATGAAAGTAAATTTTTTTCTACAAAGTTATTTGTCGCCTTTGAAAATCTTTATTTTTAAATGGTTGATTATCGTTCAAAGTCTGATTAATATACATTGAATAATTAATTTGCCATAGAAAGATTGAACCTTATTGATCTATCATATTCTTGTCAGAATGAGACACTTTATAAGTATACATTTCACGAAGAAACGTTTTCAATTGGCCAACTGTTTTTTTTAGTTCGGATTCCGTGCATTTCAGAGTCATCGGCATTTTACTGTAGTTTTAGCCTATGGTATGATATACACCAACAAATCTGATGATGGTATTTCAAGCTGCAGTTTTGCCCCAAGTAGAACTATTTGTGAGTAAACTGTTCTGAAAATTTCAGCTAAAAATAAACAAATTTTCTTCCGAAAATAATAAAGTCAAAAAAAAACTAAAGATTCTAGCATCTTCTATGGAATGCGAGCGTTTTTTTCGAAGTTCAATATTTGGAAAAAGTAACATTTTCTTTTTGAGCTAAACTTTTCCGAACATTTTACTTACGGATAGATCTATTTATGGGCAAAATCTCAGCTTGAAATACCGTCATTCGATTTATTGGTATATACAATGTCCTAAGCTAAAATTGCAGTAAAAACTCATAAGCGATTGGGCAACTGAAAATGTTCTCTTATTAGACATGCTCTCTGGCTTTATTACTCCATGTAATTGTGTGATTACTTTCTACAATTTTGTTCTATATTGATATAGTTTCAATAGTTCGTTGTTTACGGAAACTAATACTGTGGAATTTATATTCACTTCCGACTGTTGCCGTGTCACAGCAGTTAGTCACAACGATTCGACATTGCAAACCCAAACCCCTAAGGATATCATATTGAAAAAAGCAAAAGAATATTAACTATGAAAAAATATGCACAATACAAATAATGTATTTTTTTTTCCTAATAAACAATTGAGATCATCTTGATTTCCGTCTATTGTGAAAGTATAACTCTCCTGTTAATTGTATTTATGAAATGAAATAAGAATTACATTGTAGAAAATAAAGAACAATTTTCTTGAAGATTCGACTCAATAAGTTTAACTTTATTATAAATTGGCTTTTTCTGCTTTGACACAACGATTCATTTCAATTAACTTGTTAAAGTAATCATATTAAAACAGAAAGGAGAATATTTCGTATCGATAATTAACAAATGCATTCGGTTAATAATGTTATTTCATCTTACACAAATGAAAACGTCACTTCAAACAAAATGTGTGGCATATCAAGCAGAGGTGAATCTTTCTATTTTTAAATAATATTCATTTAGCAAAGCTTACAAAAGAAATATCAAAGAATAATATCTCTAGTATGTGCTTGTTTCATGTGTGACACAACATAATATGTTAGAAAGTTGAGGATCAGTCGTAGTTTTATAAAAAAGAAATGCTGAAACAGAACTCACTTATGATATGTTTTTCTGAAAAAATGCGATGCTTTGTTTTTCAGACGCAACGACCTCTTCTTCAATTCTATGAGACAATGTTCAATAGGATAAACTTATCAGCCAGTAGAACAAAACTTAAAATCATTCTTTTTCATTGTCAAATAATAATTTACACTTAAGATTTTTTTTTTTACCAAAATAAATGAATTTTTATAAACCGATAATATGAAATTATTTCAGATCAATAAAGTTTTTATTCAATCAAAATAGATATACATTTGTGAAAGTAATAATAACTCGAAATTCTTTTACATCTTAGAAATTATTGAATTTGTATAATAAAGTGAGAATGCACAAGTCATCGTGACAAAGGAAATAAAAAAATAAATATTAAAATTAATATGAAATATAAAAAATGAAAGAAAAGCAGTTATAATTAAAGAAAATGATATAACAAATAATCTTATTATATTAGAAGAATATTTCATTACTACAGACATAATTAAACCATTTAATACTTGTGTAATTATAATTAACCATGTATAAAATGTAAAACCATGGAAGAGATTTAAATGATTAATTGTTTTTGAATTTGCTATCATCATACTAATAGCAGGTATTAAATTAAGGAAAGTTCCATAAGTATAAAGAAAAATATTTTGTAGATGTAGTGATTCACTATAATTTCTTTTTAATATCCATTCATTATAAACACCAGCAAGACCACTTAATGTACAGTAGACAACTATCATTGGAATACCTAATGGACGTATATACATTTCTCGTATTATTATAGTTGAATTTGTAGTAGTCTTTGAAATAAATGATGAAGTTTTAAATGTACCTAAACTATAAGTAAGACCACCAAAAAAAAGTAATATTAATGCAAACCATTGTTGATTTATTAATCTTTTTTTCATAATTAAACGATAAAGAATAGCTGTTGTAAATATTTTAAAATTTGATAAAATTTGATAAGATGTTGGATCCATATGAATTTGTATATGTACAGCTAAATTATTATTTAAAAAATAAAGAATAGCTGGTATGGAATATAATATTGATTGTTTAAACCATAATAAAATTTGAATTTTATTTAAATGAATTCGTTTTAAACATATAAAAGCATGAAGAGAAAATAATAATTTCATAAATTCAATTATAAAATTCATTGTTGCTGATGAAAATGTAATCATACCATTTTTTTCACATAAATGAACTAATACTGAATAAGAACCATATGCTATTATTTGAAAAATTATCATTGCACAAAATAATATTGAATATAAACTATTTTTAGTTTCTTGTTTTATATTCAATGAATTATTCGTCACATACAAAAGTTTTGATGATGATTCATTTTCATTATTGCTTGAAAGAGTAAAGCTAGGCATGGTTAAAATAAAGCCAACACAATCAAAAATGAACGTTTTGTGTTGTTAGAAAAAAAAAAGGAAAAGAAAAAAAAAGAAAAAAAAAAGTCGCTTTTCTGTAACACATAAAGAGAATAGAACAAACCGAGTTCAGCGATCTGCATTTATTCGGAGAAAGAAAAAGTAGCGAAGAATATTTGGTTCTGTTCTCTCAATACGCAAAAAAATGTCAGACGAATATATAGTCTTATTATTATACTGTTAGCACACATTAGAGACCAACTATTTTTTTAATAGTCAAACTAGATTCTCATGTGAATTTCTACTGATTAAAATCAATATTATTATAGGAACAAATTTGATTGATTGTTTAATTTTAGTTTTCATCTTATTGAATAAACTTTTGATCTACTTTGTATAGCTATTATTAATCAATATATGAATTCGTTAATGGACTATTGTTAAAAACCTAAGAGAAAATTTATAGATAAACAATAATAAAACAGCAGACTAAGAGTTTCTTTTTTTTTTTTAATATTTTGATAAAGATTTTTATATTGAGCACTAGTATAGGCTGCTATAAGGCTAAGAGCTTGAAGATTCAATGCCTTATGTTATCTTATCAAATTATGATACCAGATATATTAATTAATAAACTACTAAATTATATTAATTTATTTTCGAGAATGTAGATTTTACTTAATTTTGTATTTCTGTTTTCATATAAATCGTATATATATATTCTACTTTTTTTGTGAAACACGATCTAAAACTAATGTTGGAATATAGAAGTAAAACTTTGGACTCTCCATAGATTGTGATACAGACTATGGATAGACGATCACAGGCGATAGATCAATAACGTCTCGTTACAATATATGACCTACTTTCTTTTTGCACTTCTGGAGAATTAAGTGAAAAAAATGGTGAAAAAATGTGTCTCACAATAGATAGAATAGCACAGTCTCCCTGGGATTAACAAGAGTAGTTACACTGTTTTTCACATGTTAATCACGCAAGAATTGCACTAACAGCCTCTTTATCTGGTTCATTTAATTTCTTTTTTTTCTTTTCGCTTATCTAATTGCTGTAGTAGTCTGCTATATACATCAGCTCAAGCAAGATATAATTTCCGATTGAATGTTATGCATTTATGAATTATTCACCAGTACATTGTGAATTTTCATAATATAATTTATTGACAGTCTAAAATCAGCGTCTATTCAATCGAAGACATTAAATACAATAATAAACATATTTTACGATGACATCATGGGAAGAGAAATAGTACACGTCTCTTCTTTGACGATAAGTTCATAGAGGAGGACATGGTTGACAATAATTTGTCCATAAAAGTAGCAATAGTATGAAGTATTAAAATCGAGTTTAAGCGTATAAATGTCAACCTGTCTGTCATTTAACGATAGTCATCATGAATATTAACAAGATGAGAGAGAGAGTATTGACTGCATATTTTGTTGTTTAAAATAAGACTATGGAAAACCGAAGAAGAAGAAAAGAGACAGTCATGTATGCTATTTGATCTTTATATGTACTAATGGTATCTAAGATAAATTAACAACAAAAACATGATTAATCTTTTTTTTTCCCATTATGAGTTTATAAGATTAATATTAAATACAAACTCTTGCTGAAGTTTTTATATATCTGCATGAGACTGGATTTATTTCATATACAGTCATATTTTATTTACTTAAAAAAATAATAGCAAACAATCCTGAATTATTCCATGTTTCTTATGTTCACTTAATAAATGCTAGCTCTATTTCAATATTTATTGTATACATATAAATCAAAATTTCTTTGAATTTCATATATTTTTATACTTCGAATGCCAAAAACATCTAAAGCCTATCTGATAGTGTTCTACTTTTCGTACATTTTTTTAATTTTATTTTTCGAATAAAATATATCTGATGTTTTTTTTGTTCATCTAAATATATATATCGAATATTTCAAAGAATAAAAACTTAATTAAAATATGTAACTAACTCAAAATTGATTCTTAAATATTTTATTTATACAATAATATTGATTATATAATTTATTTCTTCATTGTTATAAAAATTAATTTTTCCAAATAATGACATAGTTCTTTGTTTGAAATCCATTAAAATTCGAAGCACTTACATTGGTATAATGTACCAACATCTGAAAACCATAAAACATCACCAATATCTAATAATGGTAAATCAATTGAATGTGCAATACAATCAATTGAATCGCATGTTGGACCAAATATAACTGATCTAAATTGTGGACATTTTTTCTTATCTTTTTTCATTTTTAAATAATGTACAATAAATATTCTATGGTCAAATATAATAGCATTAAATGTTCCATAAATACCATCATTAATACAATAAATATAATCAGCATTTTTAATAATTGCTTTTTCAGATTTCGAATTTTTATCATCATTATCTTTAGATGAATTTGATGTACTAGAAATATTACATTTAAGTTTCACAATTTTTTCATTCGATTTATAATCACGATTGTGAATACGTCGAGCAATAATTTGAGTAACTAATATCATCTCTGCAGGTGAAAATTAACGACTAGGTTCTGATATTAATGTCATACCGATAAGAAAATTTTTTTTTGCTATCGTGACATTATATTGATTGAATCAGAAATTTTATTGGTAGACATATTAAAGGACGAGTGGCGTTAAGGGCACTTTTCGACCCACGATATTTTTAAGAAATAATTATATGAGTGTTACAAGATCGATATGGGCTAAAAATCTAGCACGGTGATTTTCCTTGAAATCACTTTCGGGTTTTTGACCCCTGTACCCCCCTACAGAGTTTCGGGAAAACTTTTTTCAAAATCCATTTTTAAAACATATCTGGTCGGATCGAGTCGATCACGCTGATTACGAAAATCACTATTAGAACTATCGAAAATGCAACATAAAGATAAGATCTGAGTATTATTGAAGCCGATTTTGGGGCAAAAAACTTGGTTTCGAGCCTCTCCCGACCATGGAAAGCTTGCCAAAGCTTTCAAACCAACTGCGATGCACATAAAATCAGATACTCCATTCGAATATGTATAAAAAGCATTTCAAATCGGAAGGATTCGGCTGAAAGATGAGTTTCACGACCAAATGGGCTTCCAACAGGACTTTCGGGGCTCGAAGAAAGTGCCTTAGACAACTTTGAACCTTGAGGTGATTCAGGACAAAGTAATACAGTTTTATGACCTCTATCACAAGGGAATGAAAGAACTTGAAAAAAGCACCGGCTAAGGGTCTCTGGAGACCCTTTTGAAAACCAGGTCGACGATCCTTGTGGATTTTGAGGTAGTGACAACGCCACTGTGATCAGCACACTCTGAAACCTATGTACAGCTATTTTCAGATTTTCCTGAAGCTTCTTTCAAGTGAAAAGGATATGAAAAGAAACTATCATGTAAAAAGCCCAATTTCTCTGATTTTCGAAAAACAAATGACAATTCATCAAAAGTTGCTACGAAAAATCTGAAAATAGCTGTACATAGGTTTCAGAGTGTGCTGATCACAGTGGCGTTGTCATTACCTCAAAACCCACAAGGATCGTGGACTTGGTTTTCAAAAGGGTCTCCAGAGACCCTTAGCCGGTGCTTTTTTCAAGTTCTTTCATTCCCTTGTGATAGAGGTCATAAAACTGTATTACTTTGTCCTGAATCNTTTTCTCTATAAAACAAAAGCATTTAATCAATTTAATCTTTTTCCTCAAAACAATGTTTCAAATTTACCCAGTTGTATATTTTTGATGGTTTATATCTGATTCGTTTGACATTGATAGTTAGTTTTGATAAGCAATCGAAACTTCCATCAAGAAGATAAAGACAATCATTAAAAATTGCAACATTTATTTTCAATTCGGTTAAAGTTGAAGATGTACAACTTGTTTTTGGCAGTTTATAAATAGAAATTGATGAATTCCGATAAGAAAACAATTGACAAAAATTCAAATTGATTAATCGTTTACATAGAGATAAAATCAATAGAAATATATTTGATGACATATCAGACAATTCTGATATTTTCTCATTCTGAATATCAATATTTAGGTGTGTGATTTGTTGCGTAAGAAGATCACGAAGAATTGAATAATCTTTAAATAAAAATTCATTTCATTAATGAAAATGAAAAAAACTAAGTATTAAAAATATACCTATTAGATATTGAAAAAGTATTTCTTCTTTAAAATTAACAAGTGACAAAGAGTAAAGCTGAGAATAATTGAAAGTAAGAATACGTTCTACTGAATGTTGTTCAATAGAAAGTTTTTTAACTTGATCATGAATTTTTGGTAAGATATTTTCACATATGCTTGAAAGAGCTTGTTCATGTACTGAAAAAGTACGATCATAAAATGAATTCATAGTCATAAATGTAATATCAAGATTTTCAATATAAAGAGGATCAAGTACTAATTGACCAAATCGTTCATTAACATCCACAAGTGAATAAAAAACATCACCAATATTCAGTTTATTGATAATGATAAATAATATTTCATTGGGCAAATCGAATATATTTGGATGATTGTTATTCGAGATATTCATATTTATGTCGCTATTCTCTTCATTCATGTCAATTGATACATGTCGAAATTTTCTCATTGTCGTTTGCGAGAACAATGACGGATAAATATTGACGTGATAATATTAGACTATGATGGATGGCTGGCTGATGGCATTGTTCTTGCTGCCTAACATTTTTCATTATTGATTAGTGGTCTATTCATTAGATCATCCTTCTCTTTGTCAAAATGTTTATCATGTATTATGCTCTTTATCGTATGCATTGCCATCTTTAGAATAAGACAGAATATGTCAATATATTTGATTTGAGAATATTCATATGAGAACTCTTGTTGAATGAGTAACTATAGATGGTGGATTAAACAATGTTGAACTTATCTTATATGAAATAATAATATGTTCGATGTTAAAATCTTTCTATTGATAATATAATTGCTAGTAACTGTTATTAGAAAATGTCGTTTCTGATAATGATATAGTTTGCAAAATAATAGCGTTGTGAAGATTTGTGTAAGAGTTTAACATGCTTTTTGTTCTTATCAGAGGATGAAAAAATTTCATTTGTTATAACTAAAAAACTAAACTCGTAGATCGATAATTTATTTTCTAACTTCCAATAATTTGAAAATGATCAAGATTCAGTTTATTTTTCTTGATGTCATTCTTCATTTCATTGTGAAATAAATCTTAACTTATTTAAAATCACTATTAGAATTAATCATTTATATAAATGTGAAAATAGTCTAACTAATTAGGAACAAAATGGAAATATCTTTAAGAAATTTAGAGTGAAATTTATTTCATTTCTATTCTTATTATAGATGTTTGGACATATTCAAATGTTCTATGTTAATATCTGTACTATTTCGGATGGTGGTGTGTCATAGGAAATAATGTAGTCACAATTGTATGTAGACAATATTCTGTCTTATTCT